CCCCAATAGGCAGGTAACCACAAGCTGTAAGACTTCCTACAGAAATTCAGCATGAAGGCAGAGACCTGAACAGCCCCAGGTGGGCACCGTTATTTGAGCTGTCCACTGTGAATGCTGCTTGTCACATGTCACTAGTAAAACTGAGATCTGAATGTGTAAAGTTATGTAGTTTTGCCTTTTAAATTGAAATAACTCTAAGTGGTTAGGGGTTAGCATTTGGGGCGGATCATTTTTCCCATCCCCACATATCCTCTCCTCATCTGGGCATCCTTTCTCATGTGGGGACCACTCAGTTTCAACTCAAGCCAAACCTAGACTCATGATGATGATGAACTGGACCCAACTCAACAACTGCCACTAAGGAAGAAAGGTGTGGAAGGGCGGTGAGGTTAACCTTGATTACCAGTGTGTGGTTCATTTTTATGTTCCTGAACACGACCCAAAGCAACTTAGAGGAGGAAAGTTTATTTTGGGTTACAGCTTCAGAGAGGACACTATCTATCATGGCTGGGAAGACATGGCAGTAGGAATGTAAAGCTGGCCTGTTAATTATGAAACAGAAAGTCATATCTCATCCATACATCACAAACAGAGAGAGAACAGGAAGTCAAGCAGGGTTATCAAGCCCCAAAGCCCATACCCAGTGACTCTTCTTCTAGTGAGGCTCCACATTGTAAAGGTTGCACAGCCTCCACAAGCGGTCCACCAACTGGGGACAAAGTATTCCAATACATGACGCTGGAGGGGGGGGGGCATTTCTCACTCAGACCTCCACATTCAGTCCCTGGGCCCCTTAGGCTCATGGTCATCTCACAGATGCAAAATACACGTATTCCAAGTCTGCATAGCTTTCAACATTGTCAAAACTGTCCTCTGAAACTCAGAACTCAAACTCAAAACAACCTCCTAACTATAACCCCTTGCAAATATTTTTAATTATACACCTCCAAAGTACAATGACACATAATATATATTTCCATTCCAAAAGAGGAGAATTAAGGTATAGGAAAGAAATATTGAACCAAAACCGAGCAGAGCAAATCTAAATACTGTGACTCCATGTCTCATACCTAGGGCTTTAGTTTCAACGAGATTAGGAGCTTTCCCTCTCCAGTTTTGCTGACTGCAATATACACCTCGATCTTAGGGTGGTTCCAATTCCTGTGTGCAGCTCTCCGTGACAGACGACTCACAGCTCTGGACTCTTCAGCATCTTGGAATCTCCACCAAAACCCAAACATCACAGCTTCATACAGTGGTCTCCCAGGGCCTGCTCGTAGAAACTCCTACCCTTCCACATGCTGCCTAGCCTTGGAGACTCTCTGAATTATGGAGGAAAAAAATCCATGAACCCCTCAATCTTGCAACATTTTTGTCTCCTGTGCTGGCGAGTTTTGTGTCAACATGACTCAAGCTAGAGCCATTTTGAAAAGGAGAACCTCAATTGAGACAATGCCTCTACCAAATATGAGGAAGCTTGTGGTGCATTTTATTGATGGATGGATTATGTGGAAGGGCTCAGTTCACTGTGGGGGGTGCCAACCCTGGGCTGTTGGTCTTGGGTGATATAAGAAAGCAGGCTGAGCAAGCCATAAGCAAGCCAGCCATTTGGCAGCACTCTTCCATGGCCTCTGCATCAGTTCCTGCCTCTAGGTTCTTAGTTTCAGTCCCTGTCCTAAGCTCGCTCAGTGATAAGATTTGAGAGTTAAAATAAACCCTTTCCTCCCTGTGATAGTCTGAATGCAACTGACCCCCATGATCTCATAAACTCATAGAGAGTGGCACTATTAGGAGGTGTGGCTTTGTTGGACTAGTTATAGCCTTGTTGGAGAAAGTCTGTCACTGTGGGGGCAGTCTCTGAGGTTTCCTATGCTCAAGATATCCCCCAGTGTCAAAGTCTACTTCCTGTTGCCTTCTGATCAAGATATAGCAGCACCGTGACTGTCTGTACGCAGCCATGCTCCCCACAATAATGATAATGGTCTGATGAAGACAGACGCTAAAAAGAAATCCCACAGTAGCTTCAGCTACCTGGGCAATCATCCAAAGTCTCATTTGCAACGTTGGAGCTCAGAATTGAGTACAATACAGGGTTATTTATTAAGTCTTTGTCACCATCTAAGGTTTCGTTTAAATGAACTATTAGATCAGCTGTCAACCAGCTGTTCCTTGTTAGTCTGTAAAGACTGTATCATTTCTAAAGGCGCCTCATTCTTGGCTCTGTTATCAAATCATTTTCTTGACGATATAATATGAAGAAAAAAAATGAGTTCCAATATCCAACAAATGGATGTATCACCATAACCATATAAGCCTTACAGAATACATTCCATAGTATTAGCAAAAAGGTTACTACAAGTTTCAATGTTAATGTAGTCTGCCATATGGATTTATTAGTTACCTGTTATGAGATCCGGTAAATTGTTTTAGGTGTAATAATCTCTATTGTCCAGCAGGTGTGTGGTTGCAGAGTCGCGACTAGCAACAACGCAACCAGTGGTGAGCCGCTCTAGCTTCCGCCTTGGTACTGGTTAAATCCTGAGAAATATGCTTTGCTTGACAAATTAAAAACAATTAGATCAATTCCATACATGGTGCAAGAAGCACAGAACTCACGGGCAGGGAGCACAAACCGAAAGCTGCACAAGAGACACCATGCGTCAAGGAATGAGGCAGTCAGGGGGGGGGGGGATGTTTGCGAGCTTGGGAAATTTCCAAGTCACTGCATGCAGTGAGCTCTGCTGTGGCAGGGGTTTTACAACAACAACACCAAAAAAAAAAAAAACAAAAAAAAAAAAAAAAAAAAAACAGGTAAAAGCCAGCCAAGTGGGCAGGGTTGGGAAACTTTCTGGGCTGTGGACCATAGGCCTTTAGGCCATCCACCCCGTAGGTTTGGAGTCTGAATCCACATGGCATACCAGATGAAGAAGGATGCTTTAAAAAAAATCCCACACTAGCTCAGAATTGAGAGTACTAAAGGGTTATGTATTTAGAGGTGGACTCACAGATCACAATCCTCTGCTGGAACAGGGAAGAGCGACTGAATCCTGCAGCAGGAAAAGAAGCAGGACGTGCGCTTTACATGGGTATAATAGTATAAGAGGCCACGCCTAAGTGGGCGGGTAACTTAAAGGCTACTGGCGATAGGAGTTCCTAAAGCGCCTGCATGGCAGCTCAGAACCATCTGTAACTCCAGTACTAGGAGATCCAAAACCCTCTTCTGAATTTTGTAAGCAACAGGCCCTCACAAGGTGCACAGGCATACATGCAAAACAATCATACACATAAATGAAAATAAAACTTTAAAATGAGGTCATTAGGGTGACCTAATCTTGTAGTGGTCAGTCTTGACTGTCAACTCAACAGGATCTTGAGCCAACTAAAAGACACATCTCTTAGGCAGGTCTGTGAGAGAACTTCTGGAAAACGATGAACCGAAGGAAGAAGACCTTCCTCAGAGTGGGCAATACCCCCAGGAGGATGGCCCAGACATAAAAAGGTCTGAAGGAAAAGCATTGTGGGTCACCTGTCTACCTGACTTTTGGAGTATGTGTGTGTGTGTGTGTGTGTGTGTGTGTGTGTGTGTGTGTGTGTCTGTGTCTGTGTTTTCTCTGTGTTTCTGTGCATGACTCTGTGTGAGTCTGTATATATGTATCTATGTGTATCTATGTATGTGTCTGTGTGTCTCTGAGCATGTTTCTGTGTCTGTGTGTGTGTGTGTGCATGCATCTGTATCTGTATGTCTATGTGTGTGTCTGCATATGTGTGTTTGTGTGTGCATATGTGTGTATCTGGGTGTGTCTGGGTGTGTATTCTCTGTGTGTCCGTGTGTGCATGTCTTTTTGTGTGTGCCTCTCTCCTTCCTCCTCCTGCTCTGTCTCCTGCTGTCTCTGCTACCACTGATTCTATGATCTACCATAATTTACTGACATCAGACTCCAGCTTCCTGGACATTCCAGTGCTAACTGATGTCCACTGACTCTCCAAGAATTTTCCATACCTCCAGTGTCATATTGGGACTGTCAAAGCAGTCAGATTTGGGAATGAGCAGCTACCAGACTTCCAGCATCCCCAGTATGCCAACAGCCATTGTTGTCCTGCCCGAGCTCTATTGTGTAAGAGATTCTAGTAAGTCCTCCTTTGTATACAAATACAGTCTCCTGACCTGATCCCTAGGATACCCTACCTAATGTAATATACCTTCTAAGATGAATATAAACATAGAAGATTCATGTGAAGACAGTCAGAAGATGACCATCCACAAATGAAGACGGGGCCCCGGTTCTCAAGGGGTTTCTGTTATGCCCCTCAGAAGTCCTCAAAGGGTTTAAAGCAGTAGACTCTAACCTGATTTGCATTCTTGAAAGTTTATTTTGGGCTTGGTTTAGACCTTGACCCTTAGCATTTGTCCCAGTCTGCAGACGTGACTCAGCTTTGAGTTCCAGTGCTGCATGGAAGCAGCAATCGCTGTGATAAGAACCGTTAACTCTCTGGCACTTGCCCGGGTCAGCAGACACCCCTATCTTGGCATGTTTTAAAAGCCTGTGCACGGTGCACCTGGGTCAAGCATGATTATTTTGCAGTCGCTGACTCAAATTCCCTAAGTGCCTAAGTGGCTCTAAGACAGAGGAACTGAGCAAAGGGGAAGCGCATTAACCCTTTCAGGTCACCCGCTTCCCATTTCACTCATTATAACCAATGGGCTTTTGAATAAGTAATGGGTTGTGAGAGGTATGGAGACGATTCGCTTCATAATCTGGCTGTAAACAAAGTGAGACAGAGGGTGCTGAGCCACAGACAGGATGACTATGACGTAATGGGGCCTCAAATAAAAACAGATCCGAAAAATTTACACATGAATGAGCACGGTCATTTTAGGAGCCAATTTGTTTATTCTAACAATCCTCTAGTCACCTAGAATATATTAAAAGCTGCTACTGTCAGGAGCTGTCTACTCTGCTGTTAACTGGACACAATTTAGAGTTATTTTGGAAGAGGGACTCTCAACTGAGAAAACGCCTCCAGAAGGTAAGAATGCTGTGCATTTTTTCTCCCTTAGTGATTGATGTGAGAGGATTCAGCCCGTGGTGGGTGGTGTCACACCTTGGCCTAGGTTGTTTAAGAATGTAGGCTGACAAGGGCCAGGTCAGGTCCATGGTCCTACCACAGTCAGGATCTGTGTGGCCATCCATGGCCCATGTTTGTAACATGAGGGCCAGCTTGTTTGTTGTGGTTTCTGTCCTGCCCAGTACCCGACAAACAAAATCACACATAGGTCTCCATAAATTATAAGCTGATTGGCCCATTAGCTCTAGCCTCTCACTGGCTAACTCTCACATCTTGATTAACCCGTTTTTCTGATCTATGTTAGCCAGTGTGGCTCAGTACCTTTTTCAGTGAGGCAGATCACATCCTGTTGCTTTGGTGGTCTGGGCAGGAGTGGGAGAAATAAACTTCCTCCTTCTCAGAATTCTCCTGTTCTCATTACATCATTTTTACTTCCTGTCTGGTTTTCCCGCCTATATTTCCTGCCTGGCCAATCAGCGTTTATTTATAACGTGATTGACAGAATACAGACAATTCTCCCACACCACATGTTACCACCGAAAGCCACAGGATGCCCAGTGTCTGGGCTGCCACTGATGGCCATGTAGGTATCCGAGAGCCTGGGTGGCTTCTGCTGCCATCCCCAAGCTGCTGCTGAGGGCCATGTCTGAGTTGGTGGCCCTACAGCCAGGGTCTGAATCAATGTCTGTAGCTCCTATTGCAACCAAGGGCCATGTGGATTTCTGGAATCTGATCATCCACCTGAGACCATGTTGATGCCCAGGTGCCACGCTGTATCCAGGACCATATAGCTCTAAGTGGCGCATAATGCTATCTGGTGTCATGGTGACTTCCCGGTCACGGCTGCAGCTAGGGACCATGTCTGGGTCCGTGGCCTTACTGCAGCCAGGCTCTATGTTGATGTCTGCAAGCAAGCGTGAGTGTTACAGCTCTGGAGGGTAAAGTATCCTGACTTGTAGGGAAATCAGGTTATCTCTACAGCTGCGATAGGACAGGCATCTGTACTGGCCTGCCCTTGGGATCCTGACAGGATACATCCTCAGCTCCAGCCACTAAGAGCACCTTCTGTGCACCTTAGCTACGTTCCCTTGCCCACCTCCCGTCTCTTCCTGTCTTTCTTTCTTTCTTTCTTTCTTTCTTTCTGCTTCTCTGCCTGTCTCTCTGTCTCTCTCTGTGTCTCTCTCTTCTCCTCTGCCACTCCTGTCCCCAGAAGCCAGTCTCCCCTCTTCCTTCCCCCCCCCACCTTTTCCCATTCACTTTTCCCTGAGCTCTGTCGCATGGTGTCTTTCTCTCGCATGCCACTTTTTCTGAATTATAGCAGCACTGCTACCTGGGGCCATGGTGACATCCAGACCTAAGCTGTTGCCGTGGACCATGTCTAGCTAGGTCTGTGGTCCTTCTACAACCAGGGTTTGTGTTGATGTCTGAGGTTCCTATCACCACCAAAGGCCATGTGGAGGCCTGAGATCTGGTGCCTTACTGGTGTCCCAGGTTAGGCCGCCACTGGGGCCATGTCAATCAGAGTGGCCTACATTGGCAGCTGGGACAACAGTGACATCCAGACCTGCTTCTGCTGAGGACCATGTCTGAGTTCGTTGTCCTACCATTGCCAGGGACTGTGTTGAAATCTGAGACTCATGTTGCTACCAAAGATTACACGAAGCCCAGGATTGGGGCCACAACCTGTGGCCTTGTTGGTGTCTGGGACCATGCCACCACCAGGTCCATCCTGATCTGAGTGGCCTGTGCTTCCACCTAGAGCCAGGATATCATTCAGTTCCAAGCTGCTAACAAGGGCCATGTCCAAGTCTGTGGTCCTGCTGCAGCTAGGGACTGCATAAGAACTGCACATGATGAAATCAAAGGGCTGTGCTGAGCCAGGTCAACCCTTTGCGGGCCTGGAAGAGCTGACCTTTCCTCTCATTGGGCACTACAGCAAGAGAACTTCCTCCCACCCCACAGCGTAGGCAGATGCTTTTCTCTGCCTTGCCTGTTCCCACTGGGCTGGTTGCTCTCCCACCCACAGGTCCCCACAGCAGCTTATGAAATAATCATTCAGAGGCTTAATATTACTTATAATTGCTTGGCCGATGGCTTAGGCTACTGTTAGCTAGCTCTTACACATAAATCAACCCATTTTTAATAATCTGTGTATTGCCATATGACTCCATGGCATTACCTGTTCTCTAGTACATCTTGCTGTTCCTGCGGCTTCCTGGCATCTTCTCAACTCCATCTTCTTTTCCTGTATCTCTGCTTGGCTATCCTGCCTAGCTATATTCTGCCCTGCCATTGGCCAAAGCAGCTTTATTTATCAATCAATAAGCAACACATACTCTCAACTTACAGATGGGCATCCTCCATTAACCCCCACCCCTTCACTCAGGAGAGATGCCCCCCCAGGGGCAAGTGAGAACAAACCCTGATGGCTTGGGTATAGAGGAGCTGGCTCTGCCCCTCACCTGAGGTAGGGAGCTGAAGATAAGGGTCTGAGGAGGACTGGCCAGCTCAATTACCACCCAGGCCCACAGCCAGGCTTTGGGTGGTCCACCCTAACATCTACCCCATCTAGGATATGCTGGTGTTCATGAAGGAACTGGTCCTGTGGATCATGCAGGATCTCCAAGACTCGGGGCAGCCACAGGATGTCTGAGAGGAGTTTCCGTGAGAATCCAATGACAATGGTATGCCAGAAACCAGAGGCCTTGAACCAGACCAATGATTCATTGCAATGAACGTTTGTAAGTAAAGCTGATTGGACGAAAGATTCTACTGTGTGACAAACCACGACTCCCAGTGCCACCAAGACAAAGGAAGAGGTATTGGAGAGGCGGGAACGCAAGATCCAAGATGATGTTTGTTTGTTTGTTTTGTTTTCTTTTGAGGGTTATTATTCTTTTTGGTTTTGTTTGTTTGCTTGCTTGCTTGCTTGCTTGTTTTATGTTTTTTTTTTTTTTAATTTTCTTTGGGGGATGTGCTGCAGGGATGAGAGGAGAATCTGGAGGGACTGGGAGGTGAGCAGAGTTAGGGTGCGTGTTGTGAAATTCCCAAACATTCAATTCAGAAATTGTGTTTGAAAAAGAATAATGTCGGTTGAGCAAGCAACGAGGAGCAAGCCAAGAAGCAGCATTCCTCCACGGCCTCTGCGTCAGTTCCCATCCTAAGTCTGACCATACTCTCCACCGTGCGTCTTCTGAAGTGTCCACCGTAGTCTATGGGAAAACTCAGTGCTTCAACTCAAAAGATTAAATGTTGCTCTGCCACTTCAAACAGAAAAGCATTGCCACCCAAGACCTCTCTCTGCGTGCCAATCCTAAATGAAATAATAGATACAATGCTGCTAATTTTTCATTGCGGTGATTTGGTAACCGCCCAACTCCCCCCATAGTCTCAAACATATGAACTCTTGGTTCTCCACTGGTGCTGTCTGAGGAGGTTCAGGCAGTGCAGCCTGCCTGGAGAAAGTACGTCATGTTTGAACATTTGAGACTGTTTTGAAATTAGCAGCCTCATGCCACTGCTTCCTGCTTCATACCTCTCTGCTGCTGATACGAGCGCTCTGCTTCCTGCTCCGGCTGCCATGCCTGTGGCTTGTTGAAATGCTTTCCTGACACAATGGATTCGTATCCCTCTGGAACCATAAGCCAAAGTAAACTTCTTCTATATATTGCTTTTAGTCATGATCCTTTATCACAGCAACGGAAAATAAGTAATGCTATTATAATTTGTGTACTTGTATAAGCGGTCAAATTCTTTTTTAATGAATATACTTCATTTCTGTCTCTGTTGGATGTCATTTATGCCTTATATATATACCACTCTTGCTTGTTTAGGACCGTAATTTTCTATTATTCCAAAGAGTTTATCTGCACTGTCTTTTTAGAAAAATTAAACAGGTTTTGATATAGTAAAGTCAAATATCCTTAGTTAAAGACATTTTACCATACAGTTACAACTCTGAATACCCACTGGGCACAGTCTTTTGGCATAAGTTAATAACACCTCTGTATTTGCTGTTTTAGTTGACCTAAAACCTCTAAGAACTGAGGTTCTTAATCCCTCCCCATCACAAAACTTTAACCCACTGTTGAAATTAGGGGCAGCGGGGCTGCGTCCCCGGCACCCGGCCGCCCACATGGCTAGCTTTACCCGAAATAATTACACGGAAACTGTATTCTTTTAAACGCTGCTTGGCCCATTATATCTAGCCTTTTCTAGGCTAACTCTCGCACCTGGACTAGCCCATTTCTTATAATCTGTGTAGCCCACGAGCTGGCTTACCAGGAATGATCTTAACCTGCATCTGCCTGGAGTGGGAGAATCATGGCGACTCACTGACTCAGCTTCTTTCTCCCAGCCTCCTGTTCTGTTTACTCCACCCACCTAAGGGTGGGCCTATCAAATGGGCCTAGCAGTTTCTTTATTGCTTAACCAATGAAATCAACAGATTGATATATGACACTCCCACATCAACCCACAAATCAACCTAATAAATAAAAAATAAAAACAATTTGGGTCAATTTACATTATCTTTGGCTAAGATCTAGCAAAAAAAATAGGATTAGTACATGGTGAAAGAGACATGCTAACATATGTTTAAAATTATTTCACATGACTTTAACTAGGCAGCCCAGCTCACAGGGAAATAAAGTCTACCTTTTCATACCTTTGCATGTATGAAAAGAATAGTGCAGGACTATGATTCATGAAGACAACCAGCCTAAAAATAACGTTTGATTAGGAGTGTAGAAAGCCACAGTTGGCTTCAAATACCAATTAGACAACATAGAAAACGCCTGGAGGGGGGGATAAAAATCTATATGACTGCTGGGCGGTGGTGGTGCACGCCTGTAATCCCAGCACTTGGGAGGCAGAGGCAGGCGGATCTCTGTGAGTTCGAGGCCAGCCTGGTCTACAAAGGGAGTTCCAGGACAGGCTCCAAAGCTACAGAGAAACCCTGT